CCCTTCCATTCCTTATTAAGATGTATGTCAGGATTAGGCTTGGGTGCCAGCGCCCGCAAGCTCAAAATAGCAGCAGAGCAGGTCGGGGCTGGCAGGGCAGCTCTGCGGAGGTGCCAGCGACACTGACAGCTCTCTCGTTGCTCCTGGGGCAGATGGTCATGGAGGTCTCGGCCATCGTACCCGCAGGAGCGGCAGAGGTCAAGCCCCTTCTTTTAAAGCTTTTTCTCAGGAGTCCGCACTTCCCTGGATGTCCTGGGACCAGAGCTTGGCCATGCCTTGGGGTGGCGTTTGCCCAGCAGAGAAGTGAGAGATCTGTTATTAAAGAGAAAGATAATGAGAGAAAGTGGCGGTTTTGCCCCAAGGTGGCCTAAGTCTCGGAGCCAGTATTGAGCTGTGCTCTGTCACCGTGGGGCCTTCCTCGGCCTCCCTCCAGGTCTGGCCCACGTGCTGTTCAGAGCACAAGCTTCCATCACATTTCACGTTCCAGTCACAGGTGTGCAGCAGCATCGCCATGGTTACCGGCGGGTCCACCGAGAACCTGTGGCTCATGTTAGAACAGTGGCTGAGAGTGCAGGCTGCGGACCCAGACCGCCCGGGTGGAATTCCAGCTCTCAGGCTTGCGTGCCGTGGACTCTGGGCAGGAGGCTAAACTCCTCTGCGCCCCTCACATCTACAAAGGATGATGATAAAAGTGCATTCCTCGGAGGGCTTGTGTGGGCATCAAGTGAGCCGACATCTCTAAAGCACTCTGAACAGCCCCTGGCACGTAGAAAGCCACTGTGTGTAAGCTGTCATTGTCACCAGCCCTTTCCTAATAATAGTAATGATTTTTGGAAGGAAAGGCGTAGAAGGTCAGGGACCCACCCCTTCTGCCTCGCTGTGGCGTTTTCCCGTCCCTGGGCTCACAACGGCCGTGACAGATCCTGACAATCAGGAGGGCTGATGGGTATTATTTTTGTATTACAGATCACTTCTCTCCAGAGAATGTAAATGACACAGCCAAAGAAACGTGCTTAAATTGGTTTTTCAAGATTGCTTCCATCAGGGAACTCATTCCAAGATTGTATCCTTTATTTTTTTTTTTGGTCTGATGACTTTAAAAAGATGAAAAGAGTCGCTCTGTTAATAGAAGCCACGCGATGCCCTGAAATTCCTGTTGAAAATTTGCTCCCGTCTCGGTCGCTAGCCCGAAAGCACAGCGACACCGTGGAAGAGGCCGTGGACTCCTGGTCGTTGACATCGAATGCAACGCCGTGTTCCAGGCTTTCATTCCTCCAGGAGCGTTCTCACGCTCGTTCTCTCCGTGTGCGAGCTCCATCGTGTGTGTTGTCTGCGGGGCCAGGAACCGGAGCAGGGCCGAGCCTCTCCGCACAGATGCCGATGGCGAGGAACAGAGAAGTCGACTCACACGCAAACCGAACCTTCGTGACCCGAAGTTCATCTGTTCCCCACAGTCTTTGATCAGCAATGCTCCAAACAAACAGTGTAAATTCCAGCGTGCAACCCTGAATCTGCACGTAACAGTTTCCAAATTTTATTTTAAATTTTAAGTATAAAACCTTGAAAGCCAAATATAGAAGCCACAAGCCCCTCGCTCACTTACTCTCTGGGTTGTCGAGAGCCAGTGTGGCGCCCCCCCCCCCCCCCCGCCCCTGCCTCCCCGATTCTGTTCATGAATAGCTCAGTTTCTCCCCGGGGAACCGGCCGTCTGGAAAATGTCTTTCTTAACGGAATGTTTTTGCAGTTACGTGGAAGCGTCCATCCTGAAGTGTAACAAGTTCCTCTCCAAAACGTAAGGCTCTTATTAAACGTCTAGAACTGTAGCAGTGCCAAAAAGTCAGTCTTCCTCCCTCTCCTCCCCTCACCCCTCCGACACACCCAC